TCTGGATGTCCACTAATGGCAACTGAATGACGGGCTCGAAGTGTATGTCCGGATTAGATGACTCCGATTCAGTCCTATCGCGCGGCTGTTTGTCGTCGCTGTCGACCGTCTTCTCGACCGTCTTCTCAACCTATGAGCCAAACCATGGATTAAATGCCCGTAAAGTAAACAAAACAAAGAGATGTCAAACCCATGGATCACTTACTGCTTTGTCCGGCGATTCACTCATGATTTCGATGCGATTAATGGAGCGATGAATGGATTAAAAGGAGTGAAAGGATTGCAAACAATCGTAAGACATGTGAAGAGAGGGTTATCTCTGTTGTAGTGTTGAGTGAAGTGTGAGTCTTGGGCTCAAAGTCTCACACTTTATGCGTTCATTCAATTCATTGTGTATGAAATGCGCCAAAAGGCTGTGCTATTGAAACGCATAGACATTGCGTTCATATGTAACGTACGGTCACTCATCAAAGGGCACAATATCTATGCGTTTCGTAATAGAGGGCGAGAATAGGGCCGTAAGTTTTGGGGGTTTCATATGCGGCACATAATTGACTGCAATGTGTGAACAGATTGTCTGCGTTTACATCAATAGAAAACATTTGATATTTTGAGCGCTAATGAGGTTTACGTTGTCTTAACGGAACCGTTGGCTTAAGACACCGTCATCGGCGGTGACACTCACAGACACAATGGCACACCAGTTGTCGTATCGGTTCTCAATCGTGGATCAGGTGAGAGACTACGAAAGGCGTAAACTGTTCCTGAAGTTGAGACCAGTTGTGGCCAACACTGAAGAGTCCATTGACTGTGTTTTGAGTGACTTCTGGTTTGGATGTGATGTGAAGAGCGGTGATGTCGTACACGTGTTGGACGCCAAACACGACAGTGAGAGCAACCGACTGGTTGTGGACAACGACAACGGCTTTGTCATCCGGAGTCCCGATGTGTTGATATCGATCACGAGCTTAATGTCCGCTAAATATTGTGTCCGAAAGACATGGCTGTCGGCGAAGTTCGGCGGATGGTCTCAACCGAACCGAATGATGACAATCG